CAAGCACACCCTGATGCCGGAGCTGGACTTCTGACCCATGGGCCATTGGGAAGGCCACCTGCACGCCGAGATCGCTGCTGTCCCTTGATGGCCACGTGTAAGCACGAGGCCTTGGCCTTGACCCCTCTGCAGGATAGGGCCGAATTCAGGATCCCCAACCACCTTTTTCGTATTGGACTCTCCCATTCTTTCCTTGGACACATGCACAGAGTCCCAGGAAAAGCAGGGCCCCGAACCCAGTTCAGGCCAACTTGAGGCACAAGCTGGGCTCTTCACCTGGGTCCTCCTCCCTGGCTCCATGAAGCTCATCCAAACCTCTTCAAGAGGCCGGGCGCCATGACTCACGCCTGTCATCCCAGCACTTTGGGAGGCCGAGGCAGATGGATCATCTGAGGTCAGGAGTTCGAGACCAGCCCGGCCAACATGGTGAAACTCCATCTCTACTAAAAATACAAAAAAAAAAAATTAGGTGTGGTGGTACGCACCTGTAGTCCCAGTTAATCGTGAGGCTGAGGCAGGAGAATCACTTGAACCCGGGAGGCGGAGGTTGCAGTGAGCAGAGATTACGCCACTGCACTCCAGCCTGGGTAGGAGTTGCAGGCTGCAGTGAGTCATGATCGTGCCCCTTCCCTCCAGCCTGGTGACAGCGCAAGGCCCTGTCTCAAGAAAAATTTAAAAAAAAAAAAAATAACAGGGAAACACACATTTTGACCTGTTTGAAACTTTGAAAAGTGAGCCCCCCCTCCCCTAGTTTTTACATCCTGGATGGATGGGTCCCCCAAAGATGCCGGTGGGCTGTGTTGCTCAGCCCGCCACATCCGCTTGCTTTGCTGTTTGGAGTTTGCCCCTGAATAAAGGTGCTTTCTGATGTTCAAAGGCCCATGCGTGTGTTCCGGCCAGGGTGGGTCTCAGTCTCAGGGGGCTGGGGGCCACGGAGGTGTGTCACTGCAGAGACGTGGAGAAGGGAGCGTGCAGAGCCAGGGTAGAAGATGTGGAGGAGTGCTGCCCCTCTGACCTGCCTGTCATCCTGTCTGGGATCCACTGTCGCTGCTCAGCCCACGTGGGGTAAGCACTGCTGCTTAAAGTTAGTCGGGCACCATGGCTCACCCCTGTAATCCCAGCACTTTGGGAGGCGGAGGTGGAGGCGGAGGCGGAGGCAGAAGGATTGCTTTTGTTCTGTTTTGTTTTGAGATGGAATCTTGCTCTGTCACCAGGCTGGAGTGCTGTGGCGTGATCTCGGCTCACTGCAGCCTCTGCCTCCCAGGTTCAAGTGATTCTTCTGCCTCAGCCTCCCGAGGAGCTGGGACTACAGGCATGCGCCCCCACGCCCGGCTAATTTTTGTATTTTTAGTAGAGACGGGGTTTCACCATGTTGGCCAGGTTGGCACCACTGCACTCCAGCCTGGGCAACAGAGTGAGATCCTGTCTCTAAAAATAAACAAGAGCATTGCCCCTTCTGTTCTCATCTTGGTACAGGTGAATTTCGTGGAAATTGCAGGGAGCAGGACAGGAGGAGGAGGAGTCAGAAGGGGCAGCTCTCTACCTCCCCAGTCCTGCAGGAGCTGGTCTTGCTGTGGTCTCTCCAGCTGCGCTGGCTGGGATGGGAAGACAGAGGCAGGGCAAGGGCCACGGGCTGGTCTCAGGGGCCCCTCCTGTCCTCTGACCCAATTTCTGACTGCTGCTCAGACTCCCCCAGGGCTGGGTGGGGTGATGGGAAACCACAGTGTATTGTGGTGTGAGGTCATGGTAGCCCCTTGCTTCCCTGGGACCTGGTCCAGAGGGTGGCTCTGGGATCCCTGACCACTTCCACCAGCCAAATCCACTTCCCTGCTCCTGTTCCGGAACCTCCCATAGCTCCCGCTGCCCACAGACCAAACTCTTCACCCTCCAGCTTCTTCCCCCAGTTTGGTCTGTTTACTTGGCTCTAAGTCCATCGAAGTGAGCACTTTCCCACCTCCGGGCCTTTGCTGAGGCTATGCGGCCACCTGGAATGCCCCTGCCACCCTCCCATCTGTTCCTTGGACAGGTCTCATGCATCCTCAAGGCCCAGCCCCAATGCCGCTGCCTCCAGGAAGCCTTCCCGGACTTCATCCCCGCTGGATAGCTCCCTCCTACAGTCCTCCACAGGACAACTTCTTAAGGTTTCTTGCCCTTTCTACCTTGACTTGTAGCAACAGGCAGCCTTGCCCTCTCTTCCCACACGAGGCTGGGGGCTCCTGGAGGGCCAGGCCTGTTGAAGATGATCACAACAACACACAGGGACAGGCTTTTTTTTTTTTTTTTTTTT